AGCTGTAGGTTTCATTTTAAGATACAAATCATAACAGAGGTAACAGACTACATCTGTTTTAAGCAACAGGGGATCTTATGTGGAGGGTTAAACCTGCAACTATTTTTAACAATAATAATCAGCACTTCTGTGGAAATCCATGTGCTTAGTGCCTTCTCAGGCATTTCATGGGATGTTTCTGTAACTGCTGTTTAAAAGCTTTTCAACACACTTAGCTGACTGTACAGATAAAATACACCCTTGCAAATTGTTTGGGCTTACTAACTATGAGCTTGCTGTCAGGTCTCATTTTGGGGGCTCAGCAGAAGATACAGACTTAGGGGTAAGTTTCAGGCCTTGAAATCAGGCAGGTTTTACCTTAATTTTTTGTTGTTGCCACTCCCATATTGACTGTACTTTAACAAGGTCCTGGTTACAGCCCAGCAGTAGTTTCTCCATCTTCAACTGAAAAAGTCTTGCCAAGTTTAAAACTGGATTATGTTTTTAAAGCCTTGCTCCTACTGAAGTCTTTCCCAGTAACAGAACCCTTCTCTTCCATCTCTACACTCAAAAAAGGGATGGTTTATCAGTTTAAAATCAAAGTACTGGCATATTCATCTGAAGTGCCAAGGGTGTTCTGAGCACAGTAGGAATGTTTGAGTAGAAGTCAGTTATCCTTTGTTTTATCCTTTAAACCTACTCCCCTTTTATCTCTAGCACAGATAATTTTATGGGTTTAATTTAGAAATTAAGCTACTTCTGGCATCTTTTGCCATGACAGAAAGCTGAGTTAAGTATCAAGTCTTTGAAATCAGGAAGTAAGGCATTAAGGCATTTTCTGATGAATTTTATTTCTAAAAGAGCCCTCTCTAGAACCCCCCATAGCTAATAATCTCTCCCAAGAACTGGCTTATGCTCTGACTGTATGTTGTGCTTTTTGCAGAGCCAAATTGCTCAGGCAAGGGGTGTGAGGTGTTGGTTTGGTGGGTAAAATTGCACTGGGAGGATATTAAGCTCCTCTTATTTGCATGGCCAAAGAGGTGTTCCTGGAGGGATCTAATGAATAATCACCCCCAGTTGATGCAGTGAAGATGCTGACCTCAGGGTGTGTCTTGCCACGGGGGATATGAGGTAAATTCAGGAGAGATCAGTGAGTTTGGAGCTTGTCTTGCCACAGAGACAGCAAGAGGTGACTGCAGGGGAGGTGTTGAGGGCTACGTGCTCATTACTGCATACTCATGCCTGCCATTCTTCAGTGGTTTGTTCCCATCTCTGAGCCTCCTACTGAATGGCTCCAGCACAGATGTTTGCGTGGCTGCTGAGTGAATCAGAGCAGGGAACCAGCACAGCTAAAAAAAACCCCACTGAGTAACTGCTGCCCAGGGTGTAGCCACAGCTCTGGCCAGTCCTGCACTTCTACCCTAGTCAAGCATTTTATTGACATAGATAAAAAGTAAAATTTTGCCACTGACAAGCTATCCTGTCCTTTTAAAATCCATGTTTGAGGTGGATTTTAAACCTGGGTGAATGTGGGTTTGTCTATACCCTTCCTAGACACTGAGGAAGAGCAGTTTGTGAAGCTGACTTATTTGCATTCTCCTGAAATAATACAGCAATAATCTGTAAAGAAGCTCCTAATAGCAATATTTGCAAGTTGAAGTCTTGTTAGTCCAATATTTTGCATCAAATCTAAGCCATGACAGGCATTTAAGGAGAAAACTGGGAATTCAGACATGTTGTGTGCCAGCTGCACAGAAAGAGGTACTTAGTGCAGCTGGGTAATTTCTGTCAATTTTCACATAGGTACTTAGCAGAAACAAGTGCACTGTGCTTATGACACTTAGGGATGTAGGCACCTTACATGCCTGAGCACTGGGGTTTTTTTTTTTAATTTTTTTTGGCTTTGCAGATACCTGGTTATCTCTGAAAAGCTTGAAGAAATTAAGTCTTTCCGGGAGCTGACGTGTTTGGATCTCTCCTGCTGTAAACTTGGAGATGAACACGAGCTGCTGGAACACCTCACCAAAGAGGCCCTGTCTAGGTACCAATTTCTTGAGCTAAAAATGACACTTTCTTTTCCTACCACTAAGCAGTTCAAAGAATCAGACTGAGACTTTAAAGGGAAGTTTCACAGGCTGCAGTGCATGAGGTTGAAGATTTTGGTTACTCATCAAACATGTTCTGTAGGTAAACAGAATACAGAATTCATTGTACACAAAGCACATACTAAATCATAAAAAGTACTAAAAATAGGCAAGATAATTTACTGTCTCATTATTTATACCAACTTTTTACCCAGACAATTTTCATTGTCTGGGTAAAAAATGCATCTTCAACATTTGGAACAGTTTTACATTTCCCATTTTTAAGGGGGAACTTTGTCAGCATAATTCTTACCCAAACTAGTGTTCTACATGAAGATTTCTGCAAGCAGAAGGTTGATTATTTGGTTAGTTAACATCTCAAAACAGTAAATTTTGTAATTTTGTTTGGTACCAAAAAATGACAAGTAGATACTTCTGGAAGCATTAGGTAAGCTAATTAAGGATATTATGTTGCTGTAAGATTTTGGTGCATTTTGCATCAAGGTTTTCTCTTGAAGTGCTCTGAAGAGAGCGCTTCAATGTGATGTTTTTTCCTGAGTTTTGTTAATCAATGTTATAAGACCTCATTATTTTCTTAAAATCATTGCTTATGATCACTTATCAAATCCACCCTCTCAGTTTGCCAAGCATTTTTTTAGTTTTGAGTGCATTTCAGTTTGGCAGCCTTAGTATAAAGAAGTTTAGTGTATAAAGAAGCTTATTGTCCCTGTTGGCAAATGTTTGGCTCTAGGATCAGTTTGTCACTGGAGCTGTGGGAATAGCTGCTCCAGTAGTGCTTCTGTTGAGCTAGCAGAGAAATACAAAGATATTTGTTACTCCTGCTAACCCAGCCTCCTTCCTCGCTGCTTTTTACAGTGAGCCTGGAGGGCTTGGCACAGGACAACCCTTCTGACACAGAGTTTTAGGGCATTTTGCAAAACTCTCAGGAATAATGACCATAAACTCCATGTTTGTATCTGTTGCCAGTGTGAAGAGGCTCCTCCTGAAGGACAACTCCCTGTCGGATGCCGGCCTGCGCAGGATGACCGCGCCCGTCCGCGTGCTGAAAAAGGGGCTTGACAATCTGCTGGTGCTGGACTTGTCCTGTAAGTGCTCCCTGGTCCCATGACAGAAAGAACCTGTGTCCCTCCTGATAAAGAATTTATCCTCCTTAGCACTGAAGGAACACAATTAATTTGTTGATTGCCCTGAGCCAAGTGCTCAACCCCAGATTTGACCAGCAGCCTCCCAGAAGGCACAGGGCAGACCTGAGGTCTCAGGCATTTGCTACTTACATAAGTATTTTTAGTAGTTTGAGAATTGCTATTGTAAATATTTATATTTCAACAATTAGAGGGGGAAAGTCAGTCTTGTTCAAGTATTAGCTTTTAGAACAAATAATTCCTTGGTATTTTGATAATCTTTTTCCACATCATGCAACTTAATTAATTTTACTTGGCCTTACAGGTAACCCTAAAATCACAGATGTGGGAATTGGATACCTTCTTTCTTTCAAGAAATTGAATTGTTTGGACATTTCTGGGACAGGTCTAAAGGTAAAAATCATCAGAAAAAGTTTACTGGACAAGTGTAATAAAATTCTTGCCCTCTGACTGCTTTATGTCCCTTTTTCCCAGGATGTTGATGCTGTCATAAAGCGACTTCAAATGCAGATAGGCCTGGTTCACTCAAAAGTGCCTCTGAAAGAATTTGATCACAGTAACTGCAAAACAGAGGGATGGGCAGAGCAGGTAAGGGGGGTTTAAACCTGTTTACTCTCTAAAAATTTGCCTTACAGAATACAAAATCGTTGAATAGGAAAGAACAAGGGATGGAGTTGCTTCCAATGATATTTCTGTAAATTTTACAAGACACATTTTAACTGCTTCATTTGTTCTTTCAGACAGTTCTGCAGTGGGAGCAGGCAGTTATGGAGGCCATGAAGCCCCAGGACAACCTGAGATCCAGAGTAGCAGCTCTTCGCTTCTGTACGTAACTGCACAGACAACACAGAGTTGATTTATTTTCTTTTCTGCAGGGATTATTCCCATACTTTTTGGGGTTATAGTAAAATAGCATCTCAGATTTACAATTTCAGCCCTTTGTGTAACTGCATTACAATGTACTTGAGTTTTTTAATTTGTTAGACTCCTGGATAATTCCAGTACAGCACATATAACAACTGAGTTTTTTCCTTAATATTCTGAGTCCAAAATATAAATGATTTTTTTTTCTTGTACACATTTCCAAGTTGGCTTGGCCATAACAGTTTGTACCACAAAGTTATGCATTTTACAGCATAATTCTGTTTTTCCCTAAATCAATCTAAACTTGATATTTTTGCTTGTAGATGGCAAGACACACAGAATAGAGGAAGTAGTCAAATGCACACTGGTGGAACCAGAAACTAAAGCATCTGGAAACTTGCAGTTTTATAAGGAAAACGTTGAAAATTGCCATTTACCTTTGAAAAAGGAGGTTGCAGGCAGCCATGAATTAAAGAACAATAAAAAAAGAGCTTTGGCTGAACAGGAGAGAGAAAGGACTTCCAAACAGAAGCATCTGTGCCTCACTGTGGAGGACTGGGATTTGTTAAATACCTACTGAGTCAGAAAGAAGTGGGTCTTTTGTTTGTTGTTCTCTTGCTGATGACAGGATTTGGACACACTGAGAGGGAGTGACAAAGTGCTGTTAAATCTGGTTGCTGTGACATGCCTGTGGGGTAACCTGTGCTGGGGGAGGGATAGAGACAAGAAGGTTGGTAATGCTACTGTATATTTTCAATACATAATAATTTTTTCAAATAAAGTTTTTGTTGTCATCCTTAACTAGCTCTTCTGCTGAAGGTGTTTTTCACCAAATTTCCTATCCCTGCTGCTCTCCTGCCTCTCCAGGGGCAGGACACAAATCACTGCAGCTCATCTGAAATGAGGCTGCACTGGGCTTGTCAGTGCCATGGGATGTTTACAGTGCTGCCAGAACAGAAACCTCAGCCTGAAAGCAGCAGGCGCTGTGCTGACGGGGCTGTGCAGAGGGAGGGAGCACAAAGGATAAGCACAGATCTCTGGGCAAGGAGGCAGAGGCAGTAACACCTCGCCAACAGCCATTGCAGAAGCCCAAAGTGGAACACAAATCCCCTTTCTTTCTCATTTTAGCCTAGAAAATGAGAGCTGGAATGAGGTTACTGTAGAGATTATGCTCTGCAGTTATAATTTATTCTCCCATACAAGCAAATTCACTATTTGAGATCATTCTGTGGTTTAAAACCCATTTTCAGTGTGCCTGCAATACACTAACTGTGCTTCTCCATCTGAAAACACTGAGGGGCATTTATAATTCAAATATTAATTATGCAGATCAGCTGTAAATCACCTGGACACTCAGACCTTTCTGTGTTGGTGTGTGCAGCTGTAGTGCTGCAGGTAACTGTTAAACATTGAATTCCTGCCCTGAGTGTTTCCATCACAACTGGCTGAGGTGCACAGTGCTCATCAGTGTCTTCTTAGTGCTCATGAGGCCAAAGATTTTCTCCAGGTTTCCCCTGCTAGTGCTTCTTCAGAGGGTATCTTCCTTTTACATTGTTGTTTACCATAATTCATCACCAAGAAAAGCAGCACATCCTTGGAAACCACGAAGAGGCCAAGAAAATGAACTTCAGCTCAGAAATGCCTAAAGAATAAACCCCCTTTGTCTTTTCCTTACTGCTGAATTTTCCTCAGAAAAGACTACACACAAACAAAGCAGGCACACTTGCACTGAAATCCTACTTTCTTTTCCCAGAAACTCAAGGCTATTAATACTTTCCCCTGACAACTACATCAGCTCTCTGCTGAGACCAATAATGGCACAAATTGTGACTCAAAACAGTGGCTCAGTGGGGAGGAAGATGTGCAATCTTCCCCCTCAAGCTGCTTCTGGTGCAATTCCCACCACGGAATTTTTGGCCATCCCTTCCACCATAGGAGATATGCTGATCTGACCATGGAGAGATGCACTTTTTTTAACCAATCCTAATTTTACCAAACCCGTTACCTGGGCCGTGTGCTGAGCATGAGGGTTCCTATATATTTTTTTTTTTAACAGCTGATTAGTTCAATCCTTACTGCACTGGGATAACATTTTACAGGCACAGAGAAAACAAGCTGTGCACCCTGGCCAGGCCTGGAGAGAGACAGGTGAGTAAAAGCAGCTTAAACATTCCCCCATGCAGAGTTTTGCCATCTCATTCCAGGCAGAGTGTGAGTCACAATACTGTAAAGCTATTTATAAAAAGTTCTCTCAGATTTCCAGCTGTATCCCAGTGACAAATTAGAAGCAACATTCACCATTGATCTGAGTTACAGTGACAGGCAGAGCTGCAGATCACAGGACTGAGAAGAAATGAGTGAACAGGAGTTTATTTTTAAATATCTATGACCTGAGGTGGCAGAAGAAAATCACCTTGTGGTTTTTTTGGGGGCCTAGAAAAGTAAGAGTACTCACTGTAAATGTGGGGTTTCCCTCGATGTTTTAGACACAGATGATATTTTCAAAGGAGCAGACAGAACCTCATCTTTCTTAAATTTCACTGTCATGTCCACACCTATATCCTGAGGACTGCTTTGAAGGCCTGGCTGCCTGCTTGTGCCCTGCTGGCAGAGGAACAAAACAAGCAGCAAACAGATCCAGTGTCATCCCACACCACCCTGGGAGCAGCACTTGATTTTCTGCTGCTCTCTGCTCCAAGGCTGAGACTTCCTTTTCCTCCTTTCTTTGCCAACTTCAGTGAGACCCATCCCAGCTCCACGGCTGTTCTCAGTCTGCTGCTGCAAAGCTGCACAGCCCTGAGGGAAGAGCAGGTTATTTAGTCATGCTGGTTCCCTGCCCTGGCTCTCAGGGACAGCTACTCTGTCACAGGGACATGATTTATCCCCCAAACCCTGAAACTTCTCCAGTTTTCCATGCCATTACACTCTCTGTGTTGGCCTGTGTGGTTTGAGAAGGGAGCAGGAGGTGGCCTGAGCAGCATCTCCCCAGTGTCACTCCCAGCACAGCATTCCCAAGGAAGTGTCCCAGGAACATCAGCACAGAGCCCTCAAAGTCACTGCTGAAACCATCTGCAGACGTGTTCTGAACACGAACAGAAGCTGCCAGTGAAGATCAGGACTCTGCAGATGTGTTCACCTCACTCAGCTCCTGCTCCTCGGGGCAGCTCTCAGCTGCAGAGGCCCCAGGATGTCCATGGAGCAGGAACCCCTGGACCAGGGCTGTGCCAGCTGTGCCTGGTGAAGCCTCTCCAGCCCAGCACCGAGTCAGTGCTGCCCATGAAGGAAGTGTCACCCTGGCATGGCACAGACTCCTGGCAGCTGTCCCCAGCCAGCGTCCCGCCGAGGGCTGCCACAGGCCCTGCTCCTGTCACTGCGCGGCTGGGGAGGATTCGCTTGGGCTGGAGCTTCCCAAGGGTGGCACGGCAGGACCCCGCGGCTCCAGGGTGATGGGTGGGAAGCACCCTGCTGTCCCCAGCAGGGACAGGTGCCAGGATTCAGGCTGTGCAGAGGAACTCGTCGGACCAGCCCAGGCAGTGCTGGATTCCGTCCCGGCACAGCCTCCTGGGGATGCAGGAGCAGAACTCGAAGTGCACAGGGCTGCAGCTCCACCACTCCTGCCCGCACGGGGGGCAGGCAGCCACTGAGGAGGACACAAAACAGGGAACTGAAATGCTTCTGCTGCACTGACCCCCTCCCTCCTCCCTTCCGTGGGTAAAATCCTTTCATTCCCCCAGCAGAAAAGCTGCTGGTGACAACCCTGTGACTGTGAGCCCACCAAAGCAGACACTGGCTTGGTGCTGCTTGTCACAACCAGAGTGTGACATTGAAATGACCTTCATGGCAGAGAGGCTATCCTGGGGGAACAACTAACTGTAATTTCCCCCCCCCTTTTTTTTTGTCCAAAACCATGGAGGTGACTTAGGAACAAATCTGCTGCTCATTTTTAGCAAGATTCAGCTCCTGCACAGCTTGGAGATCCACCCATCTGCTGACCAGCTACCAAAAGCCAGTTTGAATGGTTACTACTAACAGCCACACAACCTGATAAACCTGCTCCACACCAGCAAGCCGTGGAGGAAGAGCAATTTTTGGGACTGGGAGCAAAGCACAGAGCCTTTCCTCCCTCAGGTGCCACCAGGCTTTGACACAGAAGCCTGGGCAGCCAGGGGGACTGAGCCTGCAGGGCTCACACTCACACCCACCCCAGCTGTTTTGTGTTTCAGTGGTGGGTGCCAGCCTCCAGGCATTTCCAGCAGCCTCCACGAGCACCACACCTGTGGGAGCTGCTGCAATCCTTCAGCAGAAGGACAGGAGCCAGCAGACAGACTTACAGCTCCACGTCTCGTCCGAGCAGTCCCCGCAGTCGTTCATCCCGTTGCACCTCTGGTCAGCATAAACCCAGGCCCTGGGGTTGCTGCAGTAGAAAACCAGGTATCCTGGCAGGCTGTGGGGCAAGTCACCTGCAAGGCACACACACAGGATATGCTAAACTCCCCCAGGCACAGACACACCAGCTAAAATGGGGATGGCATGCACCAAAGGCTGCTGCCAGGATGCTTCCCCTGCAGTATCAAACAAACATGAGCAAATGGGGAAGCTCTGTCGTGGGACACAGGAAGTCTGCCCCAGGTTTCTGCTTTATTTAGTTTTTTCCCCAGGGTGACTGAACAATAAATTACCCATGTAGGCATGCAGCTTCACTGATGGAGGAAAACTACATCATGGTTTTAAAAAATAACCCTAGGAAAATCAGATGAACTTGGAGTCTTTAATTCCTGACATTCCTGGCAGGTTTTGGGCAGTGCCATCTCTCAAAGCATCTGCCCTGCCAGGCCTATCTGCTCCTGTAGGCAGCCAGAAGCACAGAGCAGGGCCAGAGGAACCCTGGCTGCTGTCTCACAACTGGAAGACCAGTGCAGGGGAGATGCCCACAACAAAACCACTCACCACAGAGCTGCTCCTGCTCATCCTCGCCGTCCCTGCAGTTGCTGACCCTGTCACAGACCCAGCTGGCAGGGACACAAGTCACTCTGTCATCACACAAGAAGCCTGTCCTGTTATTAGGGGCTGTGCAGAGCCGGTTCACTGAGGGGGAAGCAAGAAAACCCTTATTTTCCAGCATTTTTGTGATACAAGGAATGAATCAAGGGGAGTAAAGGGGGGTTTCTGAAATTAATTTTTTGTTCTGGAAATAACCAGGGGCCAGGATTAATTTCTGCTAGGTTCATGGCAGAGTCTGAAAACTACACCAGTAGTTCTAATTATGACAGTGCTGCCCAGAGTTATCCCAGCCCTGTGGAGCCAGACAGAGCCAGGGAAGGGCTCGTGGCCATTTGGGCTGAGCAAAGCTGGTACAGCTGTGCTCATGCAGCACCATTTCTGCCTCCCTTACCAAAACAACAACCACTCTGGGCATACAACCTGGTGCCCGTGGCAGGAGTGCCAGGGCTGCCACCCCCGAGGCCGCGGCGGCCGCGAGGACGAGCAGTGCCAGGGCAGAGATGCAGAGGCGTCTGTGAGTGCAGCCAGCACGGGCACCACACGGATGGCAGCAGCCTGGGGAGGCAAGACAGAGAGTGAGGGACTCAGGAAGGGTCTGGGGTGTTTCAGAGGGGAGCAGTGCAGGGACACGAGGATGATGTTTGGGGTCTCTGCATGCGAGGCTGGTGAGGGCTGCTGGGGGTTAGGGGTTGATAGTTGAGTTTGAAGAGGCAAACCCCACCATTAAACACCTCCTCGTGGGGAATTTTGCTGCTTGCAGTGTGGAACTGCTGCTACAGAGCACCGGGGTTGAATGGCACAAGCCCCACATCTCCATGGAGCTCATCCTGTGGCTCGGATGCAGGGGGATGAACCCCAGACCCCTGCCCAGCCCTGTGGGACAGCAGTGACACTGAAGCACAGGGCAGGCTGGGGTGGGGCTGGGCAAGGTGCCCTCCCAGAGCCCATAACAAAACTCCCCACGAGGTAAAATTTCATTTTACAGCACTTCAGGCTTTCTGCCCCACAGGACTCGCACTGCCATGGAATGAGGCTGGACTGTCAGCCCAGAATGGTGAGAAGGAATGGAGAGCTGCCCTTCCCCTCCCTAACCACATCTCCAGGGCACAGGAACCTTCCAGGGACTCCAGCTTTCAGAGAGCCAGGGACATAAATCAAACCAATGGCAAAGCTAAAGGCCAAACCCACAATCACTGCAACACAAGGGTGGCACAGGGAGGAGCCAGGGCAGGCACCCACCCTCACCTCAGCAACCTGCCCCTGCAGCTTTGCCTCTAAACCAACAGGCTATTTCCCTCCATTCCTTCATTTTCCCAGACCAATAGCAAAAAATATCAGTGTGGTCATCTCAGAAACATGTAACCAGTCACTTAAGGCAATCCTGCCTGTGTCATTGATTTTGGTATATCTGAACTTAAAAATCTTTAATTAGAATTTTAAAAAGCTTTCAGGAACTGAAAGAACTTTTAAGTTAGAATTTGTCTTAGCTGTGCTTTGTGTTTACTTAGTTGTTCAAACTCAAGGGAAGGGACAGCCTTTGCTCAACAGCAAAAGGATCCTGATTCCAGCAACCTCCCCCTCTGCCATGCTCAAGCAGGAGCCAAACTCAGATTTCAGCTCAGAACAGAAATGGTGAATTACAGCATGTGTGTGTCTACAAAACATCTCTGACTACAAAGCACAACAATTACAAACAGACTCGAGTATAAAATAAGGGTGGTGATGAAATGTTTCAAGCTGAACTACAGGCTTGCTATTTGGTTCTCTTTGACCTCATCTCATCTTTCAGAGCATGGGCAAAATTTGCTGAAGTTTGGCTATTAACACACAGGGAAAGGCCACGGCAAACTCATTATGAGCCTTTCTGTGGCGGAGAAGGATCACCTATCATACCACTGTACATATGACTGCCAGCTCCAAGCCAACACAGAACAGCTGAAGTTTATTAATTTTATAGTCTGGACATTTCACTACACAGAAAAGAGGGAAAATCAGTCCAAATGGACCATAAATACTGGTTGTATTTTATATTACATTGATAGTTTCTATTGATTTATACTTTAATAATAGAACTCTGCATTTTATTCATTACCTCTTTCTCCAGAGGAGGACTCTGTTGAACCAAAAGTAGCTACATCACCGTTTCTCTAGAAGGAAAGGGATAAAAGGGATTTACAGAATCCCACAGCCACACAAACTTCACCTTTCTAGTTCTCACATCTTACCCAGCTATACCTCATCTACTCCTTTATTGTTACAAGCAAAAATTGCCTCAGTGAAAATGTCTCACCTTTAATTCCCAAGACAATCAATCAGTCATATCCCTTTTTAAAACTGAATTACCCATTTGTAAAACAAACACCTACCAAATCCAGCACTTTATATCAACTCTTCTCTTTTGTATCAAGGTAAGTAGAAACAGCTCAAAATCTCAGAGAAAGCAGTGCTAAAGAGGTCAGGCAAACAGAACACACAAGAACACACGTACTTCAGGGAACAGCTGTGTGTAGGATTTCTCTGAAGAGCTGTACCTGGGGATGAGTTTTGTTCATGCTTCCCAGAGCTCCAGGGACCGCAGGGAGTTCTGTAACACCTGAGCACAAGTGAAGTTACCAGGATACAAACCCAACAGAGGCAGGAGAGCAAGGAGAGCACCTCACAGGCAGGAGGGGACTGGCAGGGCAGTGCTGAGCCTCTGCTCCAGCCCCCGGTGAAAGCCAACAACAAACTCTCATTCTTCTTGCCTCCAACGTGGTTTCGCAACAGGGCATTAGACAATGCAGAGTAAACAGAGATTTAGGGAGCTGAAGCTCTGCTGCCAGGTTGGAAGACAAGCACTCACCTCTAGCTCGGGCTGACTGCATTTATCCCCGTGCTGGTCATGGAAAACCCCTTCACAGTGAGAGCTTGAGGGAAATGAAAGTCTCATCTTCATGAAAGTCTCCTTCCCAAGACAGAGCTGTCACACTGCCCCTGTGGCAGCACCAGCCCAGGCTCCTGCCAGATGATGAGATCTCAGGAGAGCTGTGCAGGATACAACCATCTGGAACAGCTTCCTTGCTTGGGCAATGAGCACAGGCACAGGAAATCCTCCAGGGTCCTTTTTACCCGAGTGCTTGAATTTCCAGGCCTGCAGGAAGGCTTAGCAGCTCAGCCTGAAGCAAACATGAACTTACAAATACATTGGAGCCTTCTGAACTGGCTGCAGGTCTCGGCACAGCTCCCACAGAGAGGAGTTTTACAGCTTCAAGGATGAAATTTCATGAGCAGGCGGCTTTTCCGTGGGGGTAGTGGGGAGAAAAGGCATAAAGGTTTTCAGGAGCCTGGATTGTTCTTGCAAGAGGGTCCAGAGGACTCAAGTGCTTCCAAATTGTTGCCACCCCACAGGCCATGACTCCTCTCCAAGCAAGAGAGTCCCACAGCAGGGCTGTGGAAGAGAGGCTGGCAGCCAGATTGTCTCTGAGCTGGCATTGCCTTGAATTGATTCAAAGCACCACGGAATGCCTGACATGCAGGAACAGCCACAGCTCCAGCTTCCCTCTCCATCCCCACACATAACCCACCCCCAATTATACTGAGTTCATAACACTCTTCATGGCCAGGCCATCTCCAGCCCTGTCCTCACAGACCAGCCAGAACTAAACACTCTCTTGGAGGAGCTCCTCCTTAACTACAGCAGCACCAATTTGTCCAAAACAGAAGCTTCTCACTGGAATACATCACTACTAAATGTGGTGGTAGAAAACCCTCCTGTTTCAAGAAGGATCTTGGGTGAAAACATCCAATGCCAAGCAGCAAACAGTCTGCAAGTCTGGGCAGCTGCTCCAATGTGGAAAAACGTCAGACTAAGCAGATCTTAAATTCTGGATCCCTTGCTCTTTAAAGAGGAAGTCCCAGCTTCTAATCAGACTTGATGCATGACTATTTTGAGCCTTCACAAAGCTTATTAGGTGGTTGGGAGTTTGCTAAGAGCCCTGTGTAAGAGCCAGGTAAAGCAGGTCAGCTGTGCATACCCTGCAAAACAATCTACAGTGAAGAGTTTAAAATGTGCAGTCAACCCACCCTTGGGGACAAATGTCTGTAAGAGATGTCCAGAGAAGGACAACAGAGCTGGGGAAGGCTTTGGAGCACAAGTGTGATGAGAAGCAGCTGAGGGAGCTGTGGGGGCTCAGCCTGGAGAAAAGGAGGCTCAGGAGGGACCTTCTCACTCCCTGTAACTCCCTGAAAAGAGGATGGAGCCAGCTGGGGTTCAGACTCTTCTCCTCCCAATTAACAAGCAACAGGACAAGAGGAAACAGCCTCAAATTGCACCAGAGGAGGTTTAGATTGGATAGCATTAAAAAACCCCCAAAACATTCACTGGAAGAGTTGTCAGGCATTGGATCAGGCTGCCCAAGGTAGTGGTGGAGTAACTACCCCCAAAGCCACATGGATGTGGCACCTGGGGATATGGGTTACTGGTGGCATTGGCAGTACTGGAGAAATAGTTGTACTCATTCTTGGAGGTCTTTTCCAAGCTAAAAAATTTGATGATTCTACAACCTGACATCTAGCACCATCTGTTTCCTGCTCCAGACTATCAAGCTCAGCTGTAGCCAAGCAGGCAGTTGGATTTCAGAGCAGTTACCCCACATCAAAGACTGCTCAGAGTTCAGAAAAATGAGTTCATGACAGCGATGTAAAAAAGATAAGGAAGCTCTTCTGAAGTATAAAAAAAAATAAAAACCAAAAATTCCAAAGATCGGAAAAGCTGAAGAGGCAAATAATATCAGTGTATCCAGTATGATAGAAGGTTACTGTTAATTCTAGCACCTAAAAAAACCCCAGTTTCCCTCAAATGTACCTGGGCTATTTCTGCCAGCAGTGAATTGCACACACTTAAGAGGGTCACCTCATTTGTATCTAGATGATTCCATTTTAAACCCACTACAGGTTCAGTTGAACATGTGCCTAAAGAGAATATAAAATGCTTTCCTCATGCAATTTCAATAATTTAAGGCCCTTCATTTAAACAGTGGTTTTGAGCAGAGATCAAACCCAAATTGCAGCCTCTGAAAATGGAGATGTCAGCAAGTCAAACATTTAACAAAAAATGAATAGGAAATGACATTTTGCAAAGCCAAATGCCAAGACAGCTTAAAGAGTCCATTTAGATTAGAAATCTTGAGAAACAGTTCAATTACTTGCTATTATCTGATTTTACTGAGGGAAGATCTTTTGACAAGTTTACAAGTACAACACTCACCAAATTCCTCAGGCTCTGGCTCGCTCTGGATACAGCAGTGCCAAGTGCCAGAGTGCCACAGGCACAGAGCTCTCTGTGACCCCAGAGCACATTGCTGCACAGACCACTCAGCTGAAATGCCATTAAACAGCAAACAAAAGACAAAACACCCAATGAAAGCACAAGTTGTTTGCTTAACTCGAGCCCAGGGCTGTAAGCAACGGAGTTTTGAAGAGAAAGTTTTGTGAAATCAATTCATCAGCCTAACAGAGGTTGTACTGTCCACACTGGAACAGGCAAAGAGCCACGTGTGCACAGAGCTGCTCCCTCTGCAACCACGTGTAATGGTAAAGGAAAACATTTACACAGACTTGCAAACATTTCCATAAGCTATTCAGTTAAAAAACAGAGATTGCTGCAGTCTCTTCTGGAAATCCCAAACACCAGAGTGCTAAGATGGGCACTAATCCCCGAAGTAAAGCCAGCAGTGGCAGTGATTGCTGAACAGGGTTGCACAGATCACATCTGAGCTCTGGCATCCCTGGCAGAGCAGGGCTGTGCTGGGCTTTGCTGCACCAGCAGAAACATAGCATCACTGACAGAGCAGCTCCTGCCCCTGCCCAGTGTCCCCAGACAGCACCCTGCCCTCCCCACAGCACGGCCTCTGCAGTGGCACCGACACACAGGGCAAGGCTGCTGGCACCCAAACCTCTGGGCTGCCCCACTGAACAGTTCAGCATGAAGTACTGATAGTTTAAGACCTGAGATTGCAGTTCCTGCAGGCTGATACAAACCTGCTTCAAACAAACATCCTCAATGACCTGAAAGCTCCTGACAGCCACACTGCTGGGCTGGGTCTGCACATTCCTGCCCCAGGAGGGCTCCATCAGCTGCACTCACCAACACCCCTGAGCCAGGTTTAATACATCACTGTATCACCCACAATCTCCACAGTTCTTCATTACATTTTTTTTCAGCCTTTGAGGGAATTCTGTCTAATCAACAAAAAAATGACAGTGAATTGAAGACTGTGAGTTCTAGCCAGCATTCACTTAGACACCCTAAAATAAATCACCAACACCTCCAACTTGCCAGCACTGTGGGAACCAGCATATAATAAGATCCACAAAAAATAGGTTAGACATGAGGGACATTGTTCATTGTTGCTGTGCTAGTGAATCACAGCAAAATCAGGTCACGCTGCCCATGAGAGGAAGGCTACAGACAGGCTTTCACACTGAGCCTGCTGTGGTCAATAATTAACCATTGCAAAAAGCTATATAGTCAACATTTTCTATACAGTCAATTTTATTTGTCTGCTCTCATTTCTCAGGAATCAACTTGTTTCTGTAAATGAAGTTACAAGACCAGAATAGTTAATTAAGAACAGAAAGCAGAAGTTTTCAGAAAACACAGGTGCTAACTTTACAAGCAATTTAAGACTTAAAGGCTAAAGTTTGACAAAATAACTGACCATGTAATGTTCTGCATGTGAAGGGATATGTCTGTAAATTTTAACACATTTCCATCTTTCACAAGCTGAATTCTAGCTTACAGTACCTCACAAATGCTTTCCACCTCGAATATTGCCACACTGTAGAAAAAATATATTTCTATTTTTGAAGACAGGGTTGTTTGTGCATGGACATTAACAAGTACAAAAAAATTCAGCAGATAATTTTATAATATTTTCTCTTAACTACAACAGAAGGTGCAACACTAGAAAGGCATGTCCTGCCTACTTAAAATGTCTTATACCTTTACAAAGCTAACTCTGACTGTACACATTACATCCTAGAACACACAAGTAAGTTTGAAAGTGTCCTGGCAGAAGTATGGAAAGCATGCTTACAACTTCTGTAAGCAAAAAGACACAATAGCAAACACCAGTGAAAAGTGATTATACCTGGAAACAAACAAATTCATGTCTGAATGTCTGAATCTTCTTTACTAGCTGAAAACAAAATCCCATGACATTTGATGATTTTGCAACTTTATTTGCATTTAAAGACTGGTTGCTAAGCTTCTCATCTGAAGAACCACCAGAATCAATCAGGAGTTTCTAGCTCTGTTAGAATTAGTCTATCGGATCCAACGGGTTTAAATTGCAGATTGATCCAGATTGACTTTTGTAGGAAGAGGTCCTGCTTCTTCATGTTCCTCAGTCTTGCATCTAACCACAACAAGTGCAGAGGGTGGGTATCTGTTGAGTTTTTGCTCATTCATGTATTCCAAATCTCCATAGATGCTCAGCTTCTGAAACATTTAAACAAGGTACTTTAAGACAAAGACCCTCCATATTCTGAATGACATGGATTTCATTATGCAGCTGCATTCCAGGTTCTGATGGCTGCAGCCCTGCAACACAAGGCCTTCTGTAGCATCTGAAATTCAGGGCTGGAACTAGACTTGCACCCAGAAGATGAAATCTGCCAGAACAAGGGCAGATAGAGCATTTGTGTAACAGCTCCTGTGGTGTGCAATCACGGAGTCAGGACTCTCTGGGCCCTGGGAGAGTGCCTGTTCCCCTCCACGAGACTCTGCACTCATACATATCACCAATAACTGTGCTGTCACTGTTCTCACTACTGATCCTCCTGCACTAAACCTAAACTGGGTCCTCCCTACACCACCCAACCCTCAGAACAGCTTCATTCCCAGAGAAATGAGAATCAGCCTCCATTTGCTCAGAGCACCCTGAAGGCTGTTGAGGGTACAGCACTACAAACCAAAAGACATCGTGGCTGAATAAGGCTCAGAGCTCCTGTGAGCCACAGGAATGAGCAAGAATGCTCAGCTATAAAACCATCATTTAAATAAACAAAATTGGTTTGCCATCCACAGCTGCAAAATAAGAAAACCCTCCTTAACTGAGCCTCCCCCAAATATTTCTTCGTCTCTGGACAGCTGTAACAGAAAAGCAACATAATGAATAAATTCCAAACACTTTTGCTCTGAAATGCAGTACCTCAGATGGAACATACTGCTCTACAGCTGTAGCTACAGTTGCACAACAAATCCAGAGCAGCACCAGCACTGACAGGACGAGCGTAGTGGTTAAAATCCAACTGGAATTTCTGAAATGACAAGAATGTTGATAGATTTTATAGACTGAATACAAGACAACGGACCTCTAAAAAGTCTGGCTCATTTCTGACTGCCTTTCCTGCCAATTCATTAGTCTCTGGCCCTTCCAGCTACATAGCCCACTGCAGACTCCTGGGTACTCCTAATGCCCCCTTGATATCACAAAAGACTTGCAGGATTCTCTTATGGGGCCCTAAGAATCCTCCTGTTTACAGATTTAAAACCAGATTTTTCTGTTATGCATTGGCAGGACAACTTACTGATCCTTCATGTGTGAACTTTTAAGGAGAAAGTAAAAAGCTTTAATAAATACATACTGAATATTTTCAGCCTGGAAACAAGACATAGCAGCGTGCTACACGACACAATCCCAAAACAAAGTGCCTTGCCCTAAAACACATTCAGAGCTAATGAACAGGCAAAACACAGTATTGATTAAACAGTTCCCAGAACACACTCAAAAAACAGTGCAGGAAATTATCAATATGTTGTTCACTTGAAATGGAAAGGAAAAATCAAAGCTGGCAGGACAGCATGCAGAAAACACAGGGCAGCAGCACTAACGGTCAGATACAAAACTGTGATGCTGTGCATCCTGATCCTACAGACTTGGAGACTTCCCAAGAGGGCTGCACACCCAGAGGAAAGGCCTTTACCCTGCCCAGTGGCACAGCCAGCTCAGGACATACGTACATGGAGAGACACTTGAAGAAGCTGTCGCTGGCTCGCTCCTCGAAGAGCCCCCGGAAGGTCTGCGAGCTCCCCGGGCGTCCGTCTGCTGGGGCACAACAGACAAACAGAGGGCACGAGGGCAAGGCAAGGCAGAACCCACACCCCACACCCTCTGTCTGTACAGACAGCACAAAAGGAAGCTTTTAAAACAGCCCCAGCTCACAGGCTCCCATTTCCAGCAGAGCTCGGTTTCTACCGCACTTTGCCACGGTGTGCTCTGCACAGTAAATAATTACATTGCAGCTTCCACATGCCACCTGCAACATCATTTTTTAAAGTTGCATGACAAGGAACATTTGCATTTACTCTTCCAAAGCACAAAAAACAACTTACAGGCTGTTTTACTCAGCGACAAGGATGCTTTTGTATCTCCAGTTTCCTGATCAAGCTGCGGAACATACTGCACTTCTGGCTTTGACTAAAACAAAATAAGGAGTTAGGAGAGCCTGCTAGAAAGCTTTCACTGGTTTTGATAATTTTGGTAATTTACATTTTCAAAACTAATACAGAAATTAACCTTACGAAATGCTCCATTCTTTTAAGTTTGAATTTTAAAATGGCCCTAAAGGCAGTGAAATACTAGGAAAAACAAAGCACTTTGGATGGTGTTCTAGAGGCTTTTCTCTGGCTGGAAGAGGCAGAGTTGAAGTCAGCAGCAACACCTTAATCTCAATGAAAAAAGGAAGCACCTGGAATATGACAATTTTGCCATCATCTGCCTGAAGGTAGAAAGTCCATGAGGATGTGATGAAGCTCTGAGCTGAGTCCATCATGTCACTCCAGAATGATCTCACCAGTGTCAGAGGAAAGAGGAGATGAATTCGTGGCATCAGGGACATTAACTGCAAGCACAACATTAACATTTTTTTCCATTTGTTTTAACATGAAAAGGACAGAAGTTACATTCTTGCTCACCCCTCACCTCATGTCTAGATTTCAGTTCTTACGAAGATTTATTTTCCATTTGAAGAAATTTTAAAAGAGAAGACACACACTGAACAGAAACAAGTAGGTGGTATTTGAAAAACATGTCACCTACTTACTTGCTCTTGCCTTAACTCAGCAAATGGCAACTGGTTCTGGCATCCAAGATGGCAAGCATATTGTTCATCAGATTGGGAGTATGCTTCAGTACAGGCTGCAAGGGAGAAGTTCCCCAAATGAGATGATAAACTCTGCATTTTAGTCAAGAAAACATTCTCAGTATAAGTTGGATCAGAAACAAAGCAGCAGTTGACAATCCCTTTTTGCAGGGGAAGATATGGCAACCCCAGGGTAGCATTTGCTCTGAGGTCTAATGACAGAATCAGAGCTTCAACAGAGCAGGGAGTTGAAATCTGGCTGCAATCAGAGCAAATGATCACCAGTGTTACCCTGGCTGAGCTCAGGGATGCAAGCTCTCATTGATCCTCCCACCACCACTACAGCTTTCTTCTACATATCACACAAAACATCAGAGAACAGAGATGGAATCCTAAAGAGAACAGAGGGACCATCAGTCCATTAAATCCCTTTGAGGTAACAGCAGAAGCCATGGTATCACAGGAAAATCAAAGGAACATTTCCTGCTAATACAGAAACTGCCCTTCAAGTATTATGGAATAATTTCTTATGGAAAATGAAGATAACTCTTTGTTTTATAGAGAGCTTCTATTAATTGCTCACTAGAGGTCATAAAGACCAAGAAATCTAAATTACTTGAAGAGAATAATTTAGTTTATTCTGCCCGTGGACAAACCAGGCAGATGACACACAGGCACAGCTCTCCTGCACTATTCTAAAGCTTAGGTGGACAGTGTTTCAGTAACACCTGAACTAAAGAATCCAACCAAAAAACAACACAGAGGACAGGAGCTCTCCCAGTTTTCCAGAGGAACAAGTGGACCACCATAAGGACTAAGAAGCTGACAGGAAGCATGGCAGCAGCAGCTAAACCTTTGAGTGCTCAGCTCAGGGCACCTGAGCAGCCACTCCATGCTACAGCTGCCACAGAGTCAGTGCAGGAAGCACCAGAGACAGAACTGAGCAGAGCAGCCAAGATGGATCTGCCAGGCACAGAACACACCGGGCACCCACCAGAGAACATAAGCCAGCAAAGACAACAGCCCCAGAAAGAAGAGTTAAACCAGGAATAAGCAACTGCTCCATTACCCTACATGTGCTCTATTGCTGCATTACCCTGCTTCATGGCACTCTGTGTGTGTGGTTTGACAAGTACACTGACAGGCTGGATCACAGCTACCCTGTGACAGACTGCAGCATTAGCCCATTTCTGGAGTATTTACTGCACTTTTCTAACACATCAGCATGCCGGGCACCCACCA